GAGCCTGGGAGGCAGAGGTTGCAGTGAACTGAGACTATGACACTGCACTCCAGCCTGCGTGACAGAGTGAGACCCTGTCTCAAAAAACAAAAACAAAGAAACAAAAACAAAATCTGTAACATTATTAATTTACTCATCATTTAAGAATACAAGATATTTTGTAAATAAGCATAACTTTTAGATTGTTCCCTTTCTCCTTAAAATTGTATTTCAATTCTACTTCCCTATAGATTATATCTTAGTATAATAATACATTTTATATCTCTTACTGATCACTCTATTACAGTTTTCCCCCATAAAATTAATTTTAAAGTCCCTGTAACTGTAAGTTATAGTGTTAAAAATAAATATAGATTGAGTAATTTTTATTATACAATTGATCCAAAACAACCTATATATTGTGTATACTTTGAAAATAGCTACACATAAAAAGTAAGAGTTTATTGGAAGTGCATCTATTCATGAGATGTGTGTTTTTCCAATTAGTTCACATATTTGTGAATGAATGCTACTTGATGCTAGAGCTCTGAAACATGGTTAAATATAAATTGTATTCCTAGTTTTACGTGTGTGTGTGTGTGTGTGTCAGGATCTCACTCTGTCATCTCGGCTGGAGTGTAGTGGCACAATCCTAGTTCACTGCAGCCTCGAACTCCTGGGCTTAAGCAATCCTCTTGTCTCAGCCTCTCAAGTAGCTAGGACAGAAGGCATGCACCACCATGCCCAGCTGATTTTTACATTTTCTGTAGAGACAGGTTCTTGCTGTATTGTCCAGGTTAGTCTCAAACTCCTGGCCTCAAGTGATCCACCTTGGCCTCCTAAAGTGCTAGGATTATAGGCATGAACCACCATGTTTGGCCTACTTTTTCTTCTTTTAAGATGGGGTCTTTCTGTGTTATCCAAGCTGGACCTCAGTGGCCATTCACAGGTGTGAGCACATGTCAGCCTCAGACTCCTGGCCTCACGTGATCTGCCCACCTCAGCCTCCCAAGTATCTGGAACTACAGATGAAAGTCACAGTACCCAGCTCCTAATTTCACTCTTTTTTTTTTTTTTTTGCAGAGTCTTGTACTGTTGCCCAGGTTAAAGTGCAGTGGTACCACTTTGACTCACTGCAACTTCCACCTCCTAGACCCAAGAGATTCTCCTGCCCCAGCCTCCTGAATAGCTGGGACTAGAGGCCAACACCCCACACCTGGTTAATTTTCTCTTTTTTATATAGAGATGAGGTTTCACTATGTTGCCCAGGCTGGCCTCAAACACCTGGGCTCAAGCAAGTCTCCTACCTCAGGACTCTCTAATTTTACTTTTATAACTAAGTGTAAACACTGATAAAACTAGTTCTTTAATAATTAGATGAGAATTGATGTACTTAAAAACTTTTAAAAATGTTTTGTTTTATTATAGTAAGAATGTATAACATGAGATGTGTCCTCTTAGCAAATTTTTTAAAGTGTGAAATATTATTGTTGACAATAATTGCTATACAGCAAATCTTTAGAGCTTATTCACCTAGTTCAATTAAAACTTTATGTCCATTTTTAATAACTCCCCATTTCCTTCTCCCCCCAGCCCTTGGCAACCTCAACTCCACTCTTTGACCCTAGGAATTCAACAAGTTTGGATACTTCATATAAGTAGAATCAAGTAATATTTGTTATCCTGTAACTGGCTTATTTCACTTAGCAACCTGTCCTCAAAGTTCATCCTGATTGTTGTGTATTGCAGGATTTCCATCTTTTTAAATGCTAAGTAATATCCCATTGTATGCATGTATCACATTTTCTTTATCCATTTATCTGTTGATGGACTTTTAGGTTATTTCCACATGTTGAATAATGATGTGGTGAACATGGGAATGCTAATATCTCCTCAAGATCCTGACTTTAATTCTTTTGGGTAAATATCCAGGATTACCCAATTATGATAGAAAAATTAAAATTGTGATTTTACATTTTTGAGGAGCTACCACACTGGTTTTCATAGAGCTGCACCATTTTGCATTCCGACCAACAGTGCACAAGGGTTCCAATTTCTCCACAACTGTGCCAATCATTGTTATCTTTTGGTTTTTCAATGATAGCTATTTTAGCAGGTGTAAAGTGATATCTTGTGGTGATTTTGATATATTTTGTTATAACAAGTTAATCATTCCTTGAACTCTGAATTATGTGCTAAAAATCACATGATGGTCTCTCACCAAAAATTACTTTAAATGATATATCAGGTGACAAGTCAATTAGGTATTCCTCTACTTTTGTTAAAAGCAAATTGGAAATTGTCTGAATTGCAAAAGGTTTATTATCCAGATATTCAATTATTCAAATTGTGTGTATCAAAGTGCATTGTGCTGCATATAAAAACTTCTCAGCTTGTCATTTGGTCATGCTGAGAAGTTTTTATACCCAGCACAATGCACTTTGATAGGATTTGGAATGTGGGAGAAGGAAGGCTTTTCTTGGTAAAAAGGGAAGCCTTGGCCTCAGGCATGTTCTCAGGGGACTCATAGACATTGAGGACCCGGTAACTGATGCCCCTAAATAATCAGGGCCTGTTTATTTCTTCCACCAGGGGAAGGTGTACCCCACTTTGGAGACTGAGGGCACAGACAGTATATGGTAGAATTAGGGTTCCAGAGTTATAAAGATGGCAGTTTGAATCTTAAATTCTGACATATATTGCCAGTGTGATGCTGTTCAATTAATATAATCTTGCTAAATCTAGTTCCCTCTTCCATAATATAAGGATAATAAGTATATCTGTCACTGAGTGTTGTTGTGAGGATTAAATAAAAATAAGCAGATAAAGGTGAAAAGCAAAGGGCCTGGAACATAGTAAGCAAGTGGTGGTTAATTTTATGTAATGGCTTGGCTGAGTAAGGGATGCTCAGATAGCTGGTAGAACATTTTCTGGCTGTGTCTGTGAGGGTGTTTCTGGAAGAGATTAGCATTTGAATCAGTGGACTGAATAAAGAAGTTCTGCCCTCACCAATGTGGATAGCACCATCCAATCCTTTGAAGACCTGGATAAAACATAAAGGAGGAGGAAGGGTGAATTCCATCTTTGTTCTTGAGCCAGGACATCCATCCTCTCCTGCCCTTGGACATTGGAGCTTCTGATTCTCAGATCTTTGGACTCTAAGGTCTACACCAGCAATCTTCCTCGTGTTCTCAGGCTTTTGGACTAGGATTGAATCAGACCATCAGCTTTCCTGGGTCCCCAGCTTGTAGACCACATATTATGGGAATTATCTGGCTCCATAATCCTGTGATCCAATTCCCATAGCCAATTCCCAGTTCTCCTCTTACATATCAATATTGGTTCTATACCACATATCCTATTGGTTCTATTTTTTCTGGAAAGTTTAAGCACCCAACAAAAGTTTTCTTGTTCTCTCTCTCTCTCCTTTTTTCTCTTTCTCTCTGCTACATATCAGGCCTTCTTTGAAGCATTTTATATGGATTTTTATATAGTCTCCCAGCAACTCTGTGAAGCATGGATTGTATTATTTCCCTTTTAAGAATGAAGGAATTGAAGCCCCGAGAAGGCTAAGTAACAAAGGTAATAGGTGGTAGAAGATGCATTCAAGACCAGACAGCCTGACCCCAGGGCCTGCACTCCTAGTCTTCACCCTTCACAGTAGGTGGCACAAGAAAGTCCAATTCTGTTCCAGTGTTTGGACCACATACTTGTTGGTCAGTTCTCTAATGAAAGCAAAACCTCCAGAAATAGGAATGTTCATGAACTTTCTTCTAAGTTCATTCAACCAGTCTTCATTTCCCTGAAGGTTTACTGCCCAGCAGCTCCTGAAAAAAAGGCTCGGTCGTCCAGACCCTACAAATCTAGTTTTACAAAGCTAGCTGGGGATATTATTATCATGACATAAGATTGTTTGCCGTATTTTCAGGATGTCAGACAATTTTTCTCCTGCTTTGCATGCTGGCAAAGTACAGACTTGCCCTGACTCTGTCCTGAACAGCCTTGTCCTCTCCAGGCTTTAAGTGCTCAAAGAAAAGGTCTAACTCAGCACATCGCCTCCTGCTGAGGTCTTTAAGGTTGAATTTCCTTATTGGGCATTACTGAAATGTTTGGTTAAATCAGTGCTGTGTTAGGCCCCTGAGGCACTGGGCGGGGCTCAGCAGCTTGTTACAATGTTTATTTTAATTAGATTCTAGCAATTGCAGCCTGTGCAGTGGAGATGTCCTAGGGCTGCCGTTGTCTGCCATTCAGGGAACTTGGAAATGGAGCTCTTTTCTGAGATCCTGTGGGCATTAGGGAGAGGTGAAGAGGGGATGGAGTTATGTTTGAAAGTATGAGGAGTCAGTGGAAAAGCTAGGTTCTTGACTATGCCTGATTGGTCAATGACATGGCCACAGTTTGGTAACTGGCTGTGCAGGTCTGGATTCTGGGTAGCAACAGTCCTGTACATCTGGCAACACTATGGTGTGTCTCTGTGGCAGCTTATTTTGAGCGTCACGGCTATTACCCAGAGTCAGGAGTAATGTCTTTCATTCTGAGACATCTAAACCCCCAACCACAGGCATGTTTTCTTCCAGGGCAGAGGGCAAATGCAATTACATCTGTGACCAATTTGCACAGCTGGGAGCTCAGCTTCCTGACAGAAATATTTATTTGAGATTCAAGTCTCTGGGGAGCTGGGTCACCAGACAGGAAGTAAGGTCCAGCAAGCATGTGTTGTCTACTATGTGAATGCTTGTTAGGTTGGGCCAGGAGAACAAAACAAAACAACACAAATTGTCAACTTAAGCTTTTAGAAGCAAAAATCAGCCTTCTCTGTCTACAAACCAGGTTTCTCAGGGCATAGAGGAAAATAAGAATATCCAAATAAGACAGTTGCCACTGACCCCAGTACAAACATAGCACGCACATGGGACATGGAACTCATGGAAGAGGCGGATGCCTGGAAGTCAAAGCCCTGGTTTCCAGTTGTGGTTCTACCACTGTGAACTGTGGCATCCTGGGCAAGTCACTTTGCTCAGGCTTTTTTTTTTTTTTTCCAGAATTTCTATGTCATTCTTGCTCAGGGGCCATGCTAATCTTCTCTGTATCATTCCAATTTTAGTATATGTGCTGCTGAAGCAAGCACTTTTCTTTTCTTTTCTTTTCTTTTCTTTTTGAGACGGGGTCTCACTCTGTCACCCAGGTTGGAGCGCAGTGATGCGATCACGGCTCACTGCAACTTTGACCTCCCGGGCTCAAGCTATCCTTCCATCAGCCTCCCCAGTAGCTGGAACTACAGGCCTTTTCCGGAGCTGGAAGATAAAGAAAAACACCACAAAAGCATTGAATAGACAAATCTAGAGCCCAGCCTAATGACTCTATTTAGTATTTATCCATAGGACAATGTCTCTGGATTTTATTTATTTATTTTTTCTCCCAATGGCTTTATTGAGACATAATTCACATGCCATACAATTCACCAATGTAGAATGTACAAGTCAGTGGTTTTTAGTATGTTCATAGAGTTGTGCAGCCATCATCACAACCAATTTTAAAACATTTTTATAACCCTAAAAAGAAACCTGCCACACTCCTTATTTCTTAGCTATCACCTCTCAAAGCCTCCCCTGATTCCTTCCAGCCTTAGGCAACCTATGATGTACTCTCTGTTTCCATAGATTTGCCTATTCGGGACATTTCTTACAAATGGAATAATACAGTATGTTGTCTTTAGTGATTGGTTTCCTTCACTTAGCATAATCTTTTCAAAGTTCATCCACACCATAGCATGTGTCAGTACTTCATTTCTTTTTACTTCCAAAAAGTATACAGTTATATGGAAATACCATATTGTGTTTATTCATTTGTCCATTGATGGACATTTGGGCCATTTCTACTTTTTAGCTCTTACAAACAATATTCTGTGAACACCAGTGGACAAGTTTATGTGTGAACACATGTTTTCATTTCTTTTGGGTATATACCTAAGAGTAGAGTTGCTGGCTCATACAGTAACTTTGTGTTTAACCTTTCGTGTAACAGCCAGACTGCTTTCCAAGGCAGCTGCACCACTTTATTTTATTAATTTTTTTTTTAATTTTAGATTCAAGGAGTACATGTGCAGGTTTGTTACATGTATATATTGCATGATGCTGATTGATGAACCCACCTTAACACTGAACATAGTAACTAACAGGTAGCTTTTTCAACCCTTGCCTCCCATCCTTATTCACCACTTTGGAGTCCCCAGTTCCTATTGTTCCCATCTTTATGTCTATGTGTATCCAATGTTTAGCTCTGACTTATAAGTGAGAACATGTAGTATTTGGTTTTCTGTTTCTGTGTTTAATTCACTTAGAATAATAACCTCCGGCTGCATCCATGTTGCTGCAAAAGACATGATCTCATTCTTCATTCTTCTTTATGGCTATATAGTATTCCATGGAGCTGCACAATTCTATATTCCAATGAGCAGTGTATGAGAGTTCTAATTTTTCCACTTCCTTGTCAATACTTGTTATTTTCTGTTTTGTAAAAATGTTAACCATCCTAATGGGTGTGAGATGATATTTAATTATGGTTTTGATTTGCATTCCCTGATGACTAATGATGTTGAGCATCTTTTCGTGCACTTATTGGCCATGCATTTATCTTCCTTAGAGAAATGTCTATTTAGATTTTTGCCCATTTTTTAGTTATTTGGTTTTTGGTGTTGAGCTGTATGTAATACGTGTAATATTATTTGCACATTTTTTCTCTCATTCATTGTAGACTTGTCTCTTCATTTCCTTGATGGTGTCTTTGGAAGGACAAAAGGTTTTTAGCTGAATTGTGCGCAGTTAATCTATTTTTTCTTTAATTGCTCATGCTTTTGGTATCATATCCAAGAAACCATTGTCAAATCCAAGGTCATGAAAATTTACACTCGTGTTATCTTCTAAGAGTTTTATAGGATTAGCTCTTACATTTCAGTCTTTTCTCTATTCTGAATTTGTATACAGTGTGAGACAGGGGTCCAACTTCATTTTTTTTTTTAACATGTGTATATCTGGTTGTCCCAGCATCATTTGTTGAAAAGACTATTCTTTCTCCACTGAATGGCCTTGACACCCTTATTGAAAGTCAATTGACTATAAATGTGAAAGTTTATTTCTGGACTCTCAATTCTACTATACTGATCTATATGTCTACCCTATGCCAGTACCACACTGTTTTGATTACTATGGCTTTGTACACATGTTGAAGTTGGGAAGTGTGACTCCTCCAATTTGTTCTTTGTTCAAGATTATTTTGTTTTTTCTGCATTTCTTGAATTTTGATATAAATTTTACAATTAACTTGTCAATTTCTGCAAAGAAATCAGCTGGGATTTAGATAAGAATTGCATTGAATCTATTGATCAGCTCGAGGGTGTATTGCCATTTTAACAACATTCTTTTTCTTTTTTTTTTTTTTTTTTTTGATTCAGAGTCTTGCTCTGTCATCCAGGCTGGAGTGCAGAGGCACAATCTTGGCTCACAGCAACCTCCGCCTCCTGGGTTCAAGCAATTCTCCTGCCTCAGCCTCCTGAATAGCTGGGATTACAGGCACCCACCACCACACCCAACTAATTTTTTGTATTTTTAGTACAGATGGGGTTTTACCATGTTGGCCAGGGTGTTTCGAACTCCTGACCTCAGGTGATCCACTTGCCTCAGCCTCCCAAAGTCCTGGGATCACAGGCATGAGCACTGAGCCTGCATGTTGATCTTTTATCCTAAAACCTTGCTAAAAAAATTATTCATTTGAGCAGTTTTTTAATGAATTCCTTAGGTTTTATTTTTTCTTGTTAATTTTTTCTTTTTAAAATGAGATGGGGTCTTGTTATGTTGCCCAGGCTGGTCTTGAACTCCTGAGCTCAAGTGATCCACCAGCCTTGGTGCTACAATTATAGGAGTGACCCACCTCACGTGGCCACCTTAGGGGTTTTTAATATCCAAGATTATGTCATCTGAAAGTAGAGATAGTTTAACTTTTTCCTTTCCAATATAGATTCCTTTTTATTTCATTCTTGCCTAATTGCCCTGGGGAAGGCCTAGATTTGTATCTCAGCTGTCTAAGGAACTGAATTTCTGTTATCGGCCCTCACCGAAATTTGAATTAGGTGCTTCGGCTCCTTTAACCAGGTAGTTAATGCTTAACATTCAGCCCCCAATGCACATCGAGAGAAACATACTATCCAGTGTGTATTTCCATAGAGCAATACAGCTCTTAGGCACTGGGGATCAATCAGGAGTGTGCTTGGGTAGGTCACAGCACTGTTTCCAGATGGAGTGTTAGGATGGCAGGAAAGGATGAGAAGCAGCAGAGCTTTAGACAAGGAATCTTTTCAGCCAGGGTTAACGCCTTTCAGGGCCTCTGCCAGAGATAAGGATGGAAGAGGTCAACAAGGAAGATGGGGAATCACGTACAGACAGAACTGCAGCTGTGACCTGGACAAACCACCCAGCTCCCTCCACCCTCCACACTGCCCACTGCAGAGTGAGATGGAAAAGAAGAGAAAGTCAGGGCCCGGGGCGGTGGCTCAAGCCTGTAATCCCAGCACTTTGGGAAGCCGAGGCAGGTGGGTCACGAGGTCAGGAGTTCAAGACCAGCCTGACCAATATGGTGAAACCCCATCCCTGCTACAAATACAAAAAGTTAGCTGGGCGTGGTGGTGCGTGCCTGTAATCCCAGGTACTTGGGAGGCTGAGGCAGGAGAATCGCTTGAACCCAAGAGGTGGAGGTTGCAGTGAGCCGAGATGGCGCTACTGCACTCCAGCCTGGACTACAGAGCAAGACTCTCTCAAAAAAAATAAAAAATAAAAAAATAAAGAAGAGAAAGTCAGCCAGTTTTTCAGTCTACCAATGAAGTAAGCTGTTTTCTTTTCAGACTTGGAGTGAACAAATTCTGTAAGCACCCTAATTAATGAGGAAAGCTCTGAGTCAGGCATGTTTTCTTGGTGCTTTCAAGCACTCTGTGCCTCTAGCCTTTTTCTGACCAGCCTGGAAAGGGAAGACATCCAACGTGATTTCTGAATTTGTACATATTTGCGGTGGCTATTTGCTGCGAGGGGGAAACAGATCCTGCTCCCACTTTGGGAGCAACGTCAAGACACCCATGACTTCAGAAACAAGATGAAATAAATATCTTGGTTCATGGGCAAACTGCGCAGAGCAGGCTTTGTGTGGGAACCCCCAAAGGTGGAAGAGCTATTCAAAGGTTGCCAGAGCCCGAGAATAAACTGGCCCTGACGAGACTTATGGACACAATCCAGTTCCTAGCAAAATCCGTGCCCAACCTCCCTGAAGTGCACCATTGAGGAAACGGCTTGAAAATAGGTTGAATGACATGAGGAGCAACATCGGCAGAATGGCTTTAATGAGCCAAAAAATGTGGTTTCAAATGCCCCTGTCTCCGAGTGCCACTGCCTGCCTTTGCCAGCAGATATAAAATCTGTTCACTGGAGCAAACTTCGAGACGTGAAGCAGAGCTTATGCAAATTCCAGGTCAGCATGTCACATTCGCATTCAAGTCCAGAAAATTCGCTCCACGTGAGGAAAGATATGCCGGCGCTGAAAGGGAAGTGTTTGTGGTCTTGCATGCAGGGCAGGACTGGGGGCGTTGCCGGCAGAAGGAAAACCCTTGCATCTCCAGCAGGGAGAGTTTACGGCTGGGCCTGCTGTTGGCTCCCGGGGAGGGGCGTGTTGTTTACTGTACAGTCTGGTCCTAATTATTCAGGAGCCGATTATCCAATTCATGGATTCACTGGCCTAGTGCCTCCCCTCTTTTTAAAGGATTTCCAGACTTTTGGTGATGTTACTGCTCAGCCGATGCCAAATGGTAGAAAGAAAGAATGAAAAGAAGATAAACATAATCTTGCCCCATGTTAGCAATTCCTGTAAACTAGCTGATCAGGGAAAGGTAGCAAACTGTTTGGTTAAAATAGAATCTAGCAATTGTTGGGGATAGGGGGTTTCTTTCTTGGTAGTCTATACACGGTGTCCTGGGCCCCTATGGTCACAGGGACTCCCGTGGCAGATTTGCTGGTGACAGCTCCATAAGGCAATGCTCATGGAGTGCAGACAGTGCAGCAGAGCAGCCAGCTGGGCTCACAGTGAGGCTGC